TGGTAAGGGTGTGGACTTTTTCTGCCAATCCTAACCTGTACAGTGCGTGGCTACTGCACTAGCCAAGCGGTGCTAAATCCTCAAGATCTAATACCCCCATCCCACCCATTCACCTTAATACTGTGCTGCCGTCGTCTACATGCCGCAGTCCGTCTTTATTTCCCGGTGCATTTCCTGCAGCCATTTTAGGCTGGGTGAGTATAGGACCCATTGGTCTTCTTCTACATTTATAGCTCCCATTAGAACATAGGCCCACAACCCCTTACGCAAAGTCACTTTATCCTTCGCTATTACATGCAGCTCTTCCCGTGTCCTCCCCCATCTTTTTAACTTCATTCACTTGCTCCCTTCTCCGTGCGTTTTTTGGGTCTTCCTTCACTTCTATGCCGCTGTGAGTTCCAGCGTAAAGACATTCTAGTTATATTGCTGTCAAGTTTTCTCAACGTCTACCCGATCCAACGTCAGTGCTTTTTCTTCGCTTTCCATGATTGGTTGGTTTTTGTGGCTATCGTTTTTACAGGATGACGTAGCCAACCTCAACCCCAACCCAACCCTTAGTCGTATTTTACGACCATAATCCAATTATAAAAATCGGCCTTGTTACATATTCTAAAAATTAGATATACCTTTTTTTTCTGTTGGTTTGTTTGTTTCTTTTGAAGACTGCCATTGCAGTAAGTAAAAGTAAATAACCCTTTTCCTCGTCTTCGGGCGTATTCGGCATAAGTGCTATACCTATATTTTATAGACCAATGGGCACTCAGTGGATCAAATATCCCGCCGGCCGTCTTTACTTCCCTTGACTTTTACATGTACTAAATTAAGGCTGGGCCGACCTGGGAGCCAAAGCCATTTTTGAAGAAAAAACGTCCGTTTTTGTTAGGACCTGTCCCCAAGGCTTTCAGATCCTCAGGCGAATATCTTGCCTCTACACCACGCCCCCCCCCCCTCCTTTTTTTTCCAACAACTGTCATTATGCTTATATTGGTGGAAAGAGCTGATCAGACAGTCAACAACAGGCACTGTTACAGGACTGTGATGGTGATGATGATGATGATGATGAGGGTCGTATAGGACGGTAGAGGTGGTGGCGGGGGGGGGGGGGGGGGGGTGGGGGCTTTTGAGTCTGAGTATTTAGGATTCAAAAAAGAAATCCCTCTATAGAAGAAAAGAAGGAAAATAATCTTACCGAGGACTCGAACCTGGGTCTTCCTAATGATAGTCCAACGTTTCTAACCGTTGGACCAGCCGTTCCATTTATGTTTATGTCGGTAAAAGCGAAGCGTAGAACACAGCAAACACTTCCATATAATAAAGCACACACGGGTATTAATATTATAGAAAATAATAATTTACTCAGTAAATTCCCTACAATAATTTACTAACAGCTCACTTCTTCTTCTTTGTCTGCTCTTTAAAAAGACAAATGGCACATTGTCTTTTTGGTTTGCAGCTAGGCTGTGATATCTGCACCTGTCGGCCTAACATATCAGACTTAAACAGATCCTTAATTAGTTTCCCCTTTTACGGCACGCTTGCTAAGGAGCATTGCGTCTGTTCATGTTTCCTGTGAAAAGGTGTCCTCACCCCGACCCACATCGGGATCTAACAGCGTACGAAATTTTTCAGAGAATAAAATGTTCCCCATTAAATTTTCATTGTCCCCTGTGTTTAGCTCATGTTGGAATTCCCCAAACCTACGCTTAATAGTTTTATACAGTTATTTAATACTCGTTTTCAATAACTTAACAACACATCGATATATGTTGAATTTGTTATAAAACAATCCCTTAACATAGTAAATTTAACATAGTAAATTTAACATAGTGAATTTAACATAGTAAATTTAACATAGTGAATTTAACATAGTGAATTTAACGTAGTAAATTTAACATAGTAAATTTAACATAGTAAAACAATACTTTACCTATCACACGAAATCCTTCACAGAATAAAATACATTTCCCATCCAACTGTCCATGTGCTCCCACTAGTTAGCTCCAGTTGGAATGTCCCTAGACCTATCTATGCTCAATAGTTTTATACAGTCCTTTAATATATTCATCGTACGAGGATTTCAAATTTAAAAACGGGATAAGAAAGCCGATTGAACATCATCCCTTATTAGTAGGTCTATCCGATTAAGGCTCAAAATCGGAAATCTCCGGAGGAGAGCTGAGAGCCGCAAAGAAGATTAAGCCCGTTGCAAAAGGGAATTCCCCCAACGGATTAAAATCCTTGCACTTGATGATTTCAGTAAACGTAATAAATAATGTTGAGGGATATTCCTTACAATTGGTTAATAAGGATATTAGTCTGCCTGAGCTTTATTGGTGTCTTGGCTTTCTTGATGTCTTAGCTTTATTGATGTCTAAGCTTTCTTTCTGTCTCTCTTTCTTTAAAAGCTTGAGTGGGATAGACAAAATGACTAAGGAAATAATGCAGACAGACAGACAGATATTAGGACGGACGGACAGACAGACACGGATGGACGGAAAATATGACTGGCAGACAGACAAATAGATAGTCAGACAGACAGACATATATTAGGACGGACGGACAGACAGAGACGGGTGGACGGAAAATATGACGGACAAACAGCCAAATAGAAGTCAGACAGACAGATATTAGGACGGACAGACAGACAGAGACGGATGGAAAATATGACGGACAGACAGACAAATAGATAGTCAGACAGACAGATATTAGGACGGACGGACAGAGAGACAGCCAGTTAGACACAATGATTGTTTATTAGTTGTACAGATGATCGGACAGAGACAGACAGACAGACAGACAGACAGACAGACAGACAGACAGACAGACAGACAGACAGACAGACAGACAGACAGACAGACAGACAGACAGACAGACAGACAGACAGACAGACAGACAGACAGACAGACAGACAGACAGTTAATATTGATTGCATTACGTTATTTCAAGACAAAAACGATGTTATACCTTATAACAGTGGCGCTCACCCTTCCTAACGCGGTGACCCTGTAATACAGTTTTCCATGTTGTGACGACCCCCAACCATACAGTTATTTTGGTTGCTACTTCATAACTGAAGTGAATATGTGTTTTCCGGAGGTCTTTGTCGACTCCTGTGAAAGGGTCATTCGACCCACAGGTTGAAAACCGCTGCCGTAGAAGTACACTAAAAGTGGTAATTCAGCAGAGAGTAATATAGTTTGAAATAGATTAAATGAATGGAACCAGTGAACTTACTAATCAACTAATATATATATATATATATATATATATATATATATATATATATGATATATATATATATATATATAGATATATATGATATATATATATGTAAACGTAGAACTTCATATACACACCCATATATCATAAGCTAATATATATGAAGACGTAGAACTTCATGTAGATACCGACATATCATGAACTAATAAATATATAAAGACTTAGTACTTCATATAGATACCAACATATCCTGAACTAATATTTATAAAGCCGTTGTTCGCTATTAAAATACCCTTATGTCATGAACTAATAAATGTGAAGCCGTTCTTCGCCATAATTATAACCAAATATAAGAAAATATATGTGAAACCTTTGTTCGCCATAATGATACCCATATACCATAAACTAATATAGGTGAAACCTTTGTTTACCATAAAGATATCCAGATATCATGAACTAATATAGGTGAAACCGTTGTTTGCCATAAAGATACTCAGATATCTTCTTCTTCTTCTTCACTTCCTCTTTTACCGCTGTGGGTGTCGAGGAAGATATAAGGTTCTGTTTCTAGCTCTTCTGGCTGCCTCGACCACAGGAACATCGTGCTGTTGTAGAGTTTCTCTGATATTATCCTTCCGTCTTGATCTTGGTCTACCTCTTGCTCTACTTCCTTCTTCTCTTTCCATGTATGCTTTGTATGATATGGCGTCACAAGGCATTCTCTCTAAGTGGGCAAACCATTTCACTACTCAGATATCATAAACTAATATATGTGCAACCATTGTTCGCCATTATGATACTCAGATATCATAAACTAATATATGTGAAACTGTTGTTTGCCATAATGATACTTAGATATCATAATCTAATATATGTGAAACCGTTGTTGGTCATTATGATACTCAGATATCATAAACTTATATATGTGAAACCGTTGTTCACCATAAAGATATCCAGATATTATAAACTAATTTATGTGAAACCGTTGTTCGCCATAATGATACTCAATTATCATAAACTAATTTAGGTGAACCCGTTGTTCGCCATAACGATATCCAGATATCATAAACTAATATATGTGAAACCGTTGTTTGCTAAAAGATACTCAGATATCATGAACTAAAAAACGTGAGGCCCCTGTTACTATAATGTTTAGATTTTACTTTTTATTTTAGCACTTTTCCTCTTTTTGTAGTATCTCATCTGTCTTGTGGTTTGGGCAGTTTAGTCTCATCCCATCCTTCTGTCTCCTGTTCTTTCAATTTTCACTGACACAGATGATCCTCTATGCTATGATGCCAGACTGGCTAGCCTCTTTCCCAGTGGTCTCCCCCTGCTTTTCCTTCTGTCAGCTGTCCTGTTGTCAAGGTATACTTCAGTTTTTCATCATCTCATGATGTGACTAAAGAGTGTAATCTCTCTTTTGATGCTGAGAAACAGTTCTTTTCGCGAGTTCATTTCTTCCTCTACTTTTTTGTCCGCGTCTCTGAGGCTTAGGCATTGCGAACACGCTTCGTAATTCCGATTTACCCATCTCGATTCCAGTTGCAGGTGATTTAGCAGCTGACTGATTTGCTTTGATTTCGACAGTCGGCATAAAGCTTCAACCGTTTAGGCAACAGTGGCAAACTAGCGAGCGTAAAATTGCCTAGTAAATCACAAACACCAAAACAGAGTTGGTGTTGGTTCTGCAACGTCCTGTTAAGAATACGCAAGCAACTTTAACTATTCTCTTGCAAATGTTTATATTATCATGAGTGTATTGTCATCCTTGTTCGCAGACTGGCAAGGAGACGGGTATTCTAGTCAGGGCGACCGGAGACCCCACGCCTCCATTTTCCCTCACGTCCAGCACCCACACTTGCAGCCACACAGCCTCGACCAGGGCGGTCACAGCGTGCACGACCAGGTAAATGTATACTTCAGTCGTTAATGTTCTTAGGCTTTACATTTGTTAGGCGGTCTGAGTGCCACAATATATGAGGAAAAGGCGAAATCACTTCCGTCTGCCAACTAATGAGTTGAGTGCATAGTGCAACACTGTGAGCTTTGAAGTTCCGGAAATCTGTGAGTTGTACGCTACATTTTCCGAAAATAGTCTAGGACTGATTGCCACATAATTTGCGGTATATCTTATGCAGTAATACCTGTGCCTTTGCTGCTTTTTCGTGACTGTTCAGCTATGAATAGCAAATCTAGTGACAGATTGTAGACGTTCACATCTCTGGCGTCTGCGTTATATATTTGATGCGTGTGCTAGCTGTTGGATTTTGTGAGGGACAGCTCTCTGTTTGACATTTCACTCGGCACAGTGATGGACATTGTGTGTGGTTTTCATTGGCGCAGGAGTAGAGAATCTATTGATGGGGTGACCTATTTGCGCTAAAGTTGGAGCCCCTACTTCAAGCATGATAGCTTGGTATAGAAGTTCCCTCTTTAAGTATTTGTTGATGCATTTTACATTATTATAAATACATTGGTATAGTTATTTGACATTATAAATACAATAATGTCAAACCAGCACTGATGTATGGAACGGAAACATAGGAGAACAACTCAAACAATTACTAATAAACTACAAAAATTTATTAACTGGCGCCTGTGCAGAATAGAGGGAATTAAATGGTATGGTAAAATCACTAATGTAGAGCTTTGGGAGAGAACTAGACAAGTTCCAGTGGACCAAGAGGTGAAGTAAAGACGCTGGCGTTAGATAAAACACATGTTGTGAAAAGCTGAGAGCAATTTAATTAGAATGTCTTTGCACAGGAACCGACAATTGCATAGAAATAAAGGGGGGAAAACCCATAGAGAAGGGGCCTAGAGAGTGAGGTTAAAATGATAGAGAAGACATAGGGAAAGCTGCATGGGATAGCGAAGGATAGCACCACTTAGCGAGAGTTTGTTGAGGGCCTATGCTCCATTAGAGGATAGAAGTGAGGAGTAAAGTTTATGTACCACTAGGCACATTATTTTTATAATAATTATTAGTCCTCGTGCTGTGTCGTTATTCGTTGCAAGAACTTTCTTAGCTATAATCCGCTTTATCAGTTAGTAACATTGGTACTTATTCTCATTAAAACAAACTAGATGACCAGCGTTGATTATCTCTTTTGAAGGACGAACAACATATCAATATGCAAGCCCGGCTCTCTAGCGTAGTTGGTTAAACCTGACTTTCGCGTCGGACGGGTGACTTCTTGTGGTCCGGGTTCACTAACGGGGTAGGCAGAAAAGCCACATTTCTCCCAGATTAACGGTACCTATAATGGAATCAAGGCCGAAGGGTTTCGATAACCATAGTAATGAGCCAAAAGGTTTACAACTCATGGCTTCTGGAAACTTTAAAAAAAAAATCAATATGCAGTGATGGGGCTTTCGCCGATGCATTTCTATAGGTTTCACCCCTTCACTGAATTTAAAGAAACGGATACCAGAAAGCAGCTCCTCTTTGGTGAATGCCAAAAGCGGAGCAGCCATCTTAAACTGGCATTTGACGCCACCGTGGTCGTCTGCACCGGCATGTCACATACTTTACACACTCTTGGAATCCATAAAACAATATTGACATGTTACAAGACAGTGGCATGGGTATTGTAATTCGATCACACTTTTAATGTTTTCATTTAAAGCACCCTTGCTGTAGCAATACTTGTTGAAGCCAGCAAACTTTAACTTTGTAACGTCTTTCTTTTCTCTCAGGTTCACAGTGGTTCTCAGATCACGAATCTGTCCCAAGTTCCCATCGGGCTCCACAGCGGACACCCCCAGCTCTCTGAAGTCAGTCCAACCCACGATTCCCGCAGCATGGCCAGCATGACCTACCCGCCTTCGTCCCATAGCCACGCACACGTTCATGGACACAACCACGCCCTGACACACGGCCACTCGCCAAAGTCCAGCCCATACAGCGTCAACGGACTGTCCCTGTCCACGCCCAATGTGGACTTGCTACATCCAGCCATGAGCTACCAGAATGATATGTTCTGTAAGTATGTTTACGTAAAGGGTAAAGTAAAAGGGTAAAGTAAAAGGGTAAAGTAAAAGGGTAAAGTAAAAGGGTAAAGTCGGGAGATGTGAAACAGCGTCATTGCACACGGTTATAAATCATAAGTGCTCTGCCACCAGTACGGACAGTTAATAAGAAACTATTCGCCGCCCTCACGAAACTCCGTAGCTACAGCGACGTTCCTCCATTCACCCCAGAGTGTTAACTCTAGTACCCATTACTGAGAGGCTGAGTGAACCCCGGGAACTGCCCGGTTTTGAACACCGGCCGTGGGCTGCAGCGAGTTGCTGCTGGATTTGAAAACGAGTCTCCTATCGACTGTGCTAACGCGGCCCTTTGTTTACGTGGCGCGTATAAGTTGTACACAGCCTAGTTACATTTGGGAGTTGCCGCAAAGTAGCGTATAGACTAAATGACATACTATGGTGGTCTAGAGAGAACAGTGATTGAGAGTACAGTTTCCGAAAAACGGGACAGAGGCCGACCTTCGAGAGGGTGGATACAAGACATGGCTCAGAAACGCAATCCTCAGTGTTCACCAGGGTTTGAATCCCGCGGTGGGAGGTTTAGATAAAGGTCGATCTAGCTGCTTTCAGACAGTTGTACGAGAGTCGTACAGTGGAAGATATTGGAGTTTCGCCGTGTAATATTCTCATAGTCACTGGATGGATCCATTGCAACCAACTTCCTTTGCACAGATTTTCCTATACACAATTATATATCGAATACAAACATGTATGAGACACATAGATACACTAAACATTTACGCGGATATATAACATAAACAACACACACTTACACACACATACATCAATCCCACAAACACATACATGAAACACACAGACCTGCACGAAACATACGTACACATAAAATACACAGTCATAAACACACAAATCAAACACAGACACCTCAAACGCACAGCACACATATATAAACACAAACACATTAAACAGAGACACACAAAGACACACACAGCATCAAACACACACATTCAATATACACGCTGGAAGTCGTACAGAGTCTTATAAGTTGCACTAACTGACAGATTAAATAGCAGAGTTTATTTCTGAGCTTATTTGTTTTAAAGATTATATTTTGCTAACACTATTTGGATTAACATCAACCAGACATTGATATTTGAGTACTTTAAGTATGTCTGTACGAATTAAAAAAAAAAAAACGTGGAACATAACTGGCCAGTTTATCTCATTACCGCGTGGTAATGTAATGTGAATGACCCCCCTCCCATCCCATATTCGTTCTAGGGCATGCAGGCGTTGTTGGTAACGAGAGAGCTGATAGACTGGCAGGTTCTGCATTAATTGAAGATGGCCGGCCCATGGATCACGCAGACATTGTTATTGCTCTTAGAGAGATAGGATGTTCTGAGGATTTTTGAAGCAACATGTCCACATCACTGCTAAGAATACGCGAAATGGGAGTGAAGATCGGCACAGCCAAGCATGAGACGCACACCGGACGCACACGAAGAGGGGCGTAACCTCACCCAGGCTTTAAATGGATAATCTAGCAATTATCATTTTATTGACTCATTTCTCACATTTTGTTGGTAAGCTTTTATTTGTAAACACATTTTAATATTGCTTTTTTAACTTTGTATTTTATTTTATTTTTGCAGCCTCCTGGGCTTCGGATCCGGACTGTGAGTGTACATGTGTGCTTGTTAATGTGTGTGTATGCGAGCTTGGCATGTTTGCCACTGCGCTATCCTCCTCTCCTGCTCTTGTTTTCTTTATAGATATGGAATGGAAAAAAAAAAGCTTCTAACACTTTCCGTCCCAAACAACGCACTGTTTGAGGTCAGCTGCTTATGGTGTGCATAAACAAATATACATAAAAAGTATAGCGAGTTGTGTAACTTTCACATTGTTAACGTTATGACGTCGAAAACTGATAAATGACGATAATAGCGATCTTAAACAATATCAGTTTTGGTTACTGAGGTGAGACAAGGTCTGTTGTTGAATTGTTTTTCCTCCCTCAAGCCAAATCCGGCTGTTTCCCTTGTCAATACAAACTTATTGACAATTTCCCAGCCATCATTCATCAAACTGTCGTTAGTATAGTCTCCGCGCAGAATAGAGCGTGTGCGAACATGCGCTTGGTGTTTGCGAAGTCTTTAAATGGGGTTTTCCCAAAACAGCAAAGACTTCGCTTTGTGGAGGGGACTGTTTTTCAATAGCGAGACATATTTCCATTGCCTGAACGGAGTGAGGCCAGTACGTGTTGTGTCTTCACTGTTTACTGTGATATGATTGATGAGTGTTTGTTCGTTTTCCCGTGACACAGATGAATCCGATAATGTTTAGAAGCAGGTTACCACACAAGGCATCACGTTAACTAATTGTTAGTTGCTGTTCTAAATTCGCAATAAACAGGTCACCCTGTAATTGTTTTGTTCGTCTGACAGAGCACATCATACACAATGTCTTTGTTTTTTTCCCCCCAGTCCCAAGTAGATTTTAACTTAAGAGTGTCTATCTGACGTTTGTATACCTTAGAGCAATAATTTGTTTTAAATTGTATTGAAATTACAGCTTTAGGGGGTAGAAGACGTTGTAATGATGTTCTTATTTATCTGTACGTTCGGTTTCGTATGCTCAGATCAGACCATCAGGTGGGTTGCCTCTATAAACTCGCATGTCAGAAGCAGGTCCTTCATGGTTCCCCATAGCTTGCTCTGCACACTTTGCTTTTGAGGCCAGGTTTTTTTTCGAAGTTGTGGGTAGAGTTGCCAGGTCTGCATAAAGTGCTCAGGTGTTTGTGGTCCTGTCTCACAATGTGGGAACTGTACAGACTTTATTTTCGGCAAGTGGTAGTTGAGCCTGCAGTGTTTTGTTCGTTGACGAAAAAGAAAACAAATTTTAGTGTACCAAAGTAAATCACTGTAACCAGACCCTAACCACATACGTTACGCGTTTACTTCTTCTTCTTCTTCTTGTTCACCGGCTGTGAATTCCGGCGTTAAGTCACGGTTGTTCGTCCAAAATGGACTTTTGGCTTTTACCTTGACCTGAGTTTTGCGTGTACATCCGTTTTACTGGCTTATTTGTTTGCAGTACTCGTTCCCCGCCTCTCCGGCAGATGTACTCCGATTTCGGAGGAAGCACGCGTTTACAACTTATCAATAAACTTGGAAACGACTCAGCACACTTATTTTATAGCGCGTTATGACACTTTAGCGTAACAGTTCAGTCTAATTCATAACTTACGTAAAACACAAGTCACACGTGCTTTTTTGTGTGAAAGATCGATTAGTTACATTTCAACAGTGTGCTGTATAACTCTTACGAGGCAATCCACCAAGGATCATATTATGCACCTCAAATGAAAAAAAAGCACTTTAATTAGTTTTTATGCTGGCACAGCATGCGACACAACGTTGAGAATGAAGTAAATATTAATATATAATTATATCCATGTATATTTCACTACAGCTGAGATAAAGTCTTTTGAACATCGGCGCGAATGTATAAACGCACTATACTTGTACTAATACTACTACTAATAGACATACCAGTACTACTACAAATATTACCATGACTACTACTACTATCATTACAAAACAAGAACTTTTTCAGTAAATCCAAAGCTCTATCCATCATAGCATCTCGCTCCTGGTTGGGTAGATAAGAAGGGGGTTGGGTGTGCGGGGAGGGGGGCTCAGGAGGGAAAAACAACAGCAATAATTTGGCCCCGAGGATACGACGAGGCTTCATCACAGTGAGATCAGAGGTCTTACAAATCATGTTGACTCTCCTCCGAGACGCAGCCGCTTCTGACTCCTCCCCCCATCATCTCCCCACTCCCTTTCTTGTCTGCACATGCAGTTAACTGGATTTATTAGCCTGGAAACCTGACAGACTGAAGGTGAGAAAGTTATTAATTTGCTCTGTCAACATTTTCTTGGTAATTGCCAAATAGAAAATACACGGCCTTCCGCGGATGAAACGGCCCATGTCCGTAGTGCTGTCTTTGTTAGGGCGTCTTCATCAGTCTTGCTGTTTGCTTTCGCATTCCTTGTTTTACCTTTCTCATTTTTGAACATCGATTTATTTGAGTGACCTAATTTCTGCTCTATGCGTGAGTAACTGAGTGCGCCATGATGCATTTCACGTGACAGAATACAAGTATTTTAGTTGTCAAATATTTGTTCCAGAAATAACTCCCAGTTTTAGCTTGCTAGTTAATTAAAAAAATTCAGACTAAAATAATTTCTGTCTTGTTTGCCAGTCTGTCGCAAGAAATTACAATAGAAATTTGTAGACGGATTTTCACGTTTGGATTATTTCTATTTACTTTTGTGGCGACTAGTAGAAAAAATCCACAAACAAACAAACAAACGCAGATATAAATGGTCACACAACACCAGCAGTAACAGAAGTAGTAGTTGCATCAACAATAACAATACTAATATCAACAACGGTACTAACACAACATCGAGTCAGTGCAAGTATGTTGTTGTTGTTGTTGTTGTTGTTGTTATCGATCCAGCGGCGCATGACTTTCGCCCCTTTGGCCCAATGCCATGTAGTGGAATTTGCATGTTTTCACAAGCTGTTCTTTTCCTCCATACAAGGTGTTCCACTTGTCTGGTCTCTGAGGGAGTAGCATTCTTCTAGTCTCGCTGAGTTTTGGGCACTCAAAGAGATGGTGTTCAACCGTTTCGTAGGGGTAGTTACATAGCTGGCATTCTGGGTTGTGTTGTGGCTGTATTCTGTTTAGATGTCCACTGAGTGGAGTATGTTGTGTTCTAAGTCTGAATATGGTGGCCTGGTCCCTTCTTGTTAGATGGGTAATGCTGTCATTAGGATAAGGACCAGCCATATGTCTATAAACCTCTCTTCCAGTGTCTCCTATGGCCCATCAGTGCAAGTATAAAATACATCACTAAGCTAGCCATAGCACAAATCTGGGATGTTCAGAGAAGCCAAGGACTGACCCATATCAGGAATCCACAACAGGAGAGGAAAGACACACACACACACACACACACACACACACACACACAAAACACACACAAAAACAGAGGGACCTCAATGACAGACGACAGGACAAACTACCTCAAGAAGACGATCATCACATAACAGAAGAACAACCCAATCATAAATAACAATCATACACAAGACATGTCGGCTCTGTGGATAAGTCGATGCGAACGCTTCGTAATGCCGGGGTGCTGGGTTCAAATCTAGCTGCGGGCCATGCGCCTTGCGTTGGTTTCGACAGTGGTATCAGGGGGCCGACCGTCCAGAAGTAATGGCAAACTACTGGACGTACATTTGCCTAGAGAAACCTCACAACAGCCAGGGGCTGCTGGGGTTGGTTCTGCGACGTCCTGTAAAGGATACGCAACTAACCAAATACACAGGACAGATGAAGCACAGACAAAAAGACGGACACACAAAAGGAAACTCCACATCAGGACCACAGAACCAACAGACAGGACCCAGACATGTTCAGGAAGGACAACATCTGACACAGTTAGGGACATATTAGGTCAAAACTACTGGCACAACAAATCATGTGAGTCATTGAACTTTGCGCAAATAAACCAGATCATAATTATAACCGAAACCGTCTTTGACAGGGTTGAACATGGTCAATCACACACCCTACCCCACTCATCACCACATCAGCTACCGATGTCCATTGGCTGGCCGGTATGCGACTTCGTCACAGGTCGGGACAGTATTTGGGTCTGTCTTCTTTGATCGCGGCAACACCGCAGGAGTCCATTTCAGAGTCCTTTCATATGGTGCACATAACTTAGTCATAATTGTAATCCAAAGCTTCCCCTCTTAGGGGATGTTGGTTGAACGTGACGACCCCCACCCCCCTCAGCAAAGCAATGGAACCCCCCCCCCCCCCGCACGCCCCCCTCCCCAACCAAACCAACACAACCACTAGCCTTATAAATAACATCAGATGGTGAGGATTTCATTTGTTTTGTAAAGTATACTCTACGATGTAAGTCGCCCCTCTGTTTACTGTTAGCCTCCTCTTGGATTATTTCTTCCTTTTTGATTAAATGTCAGCCATTAGTAAAACAAACAACAAGATCGACACAAAGTGGAGTAATATGTTAAGTGAATCAATTCTGCTGCATCCTGGTTTATGACTCTAGCTGATTGCGTTTGTGTTGGCCAAAACAGCAAAAAATTATTTACATCGGCATGATTCCTAGGCCTAAGTTGGGTACCAGGATGGATGTCTTTGGGAAGTAAAGACGACCGGCGTAATGCTGACCACATTACCCACCTTGTGCCAATAAGTCTGTAAAAATATGGGACGCCCTTTCCATATGGCCGATACACCTAAGGCGGTAAAAGGCATCTTTACTGCTTGCAAACACTTTTTTTTTTATTTCTTTAATTAATAATTATATATATTATAAGACCTGTATTTTAATCAGTTTTTCCGAAATGGTCGGTCTAATTTAAAACGGTAAGGGTCTCACTGCTTTGAGTAGTCTAGCGTCTCACCAAATCTTAATCAGGCCCTGATAATAAGATATATTTTACATCTAATTTCCCCAGTCCTACGAATGTAGGAATGTTTGATTACATGTTACATCTAATTTCCCCAGTTCTAAGAATGTAGGAATGTTTGATTACATGTTACATCTAATTTCCCCAGTTCTAAGAATGTATGAATATTTGATTACATTTTACATGAAATTTCATAACTTCCGAGAATGTCATCATCATCATTATCATCATCAAGTGCCTAGCCAGCTGGCGTAAGCGTTCATGCTTCGCCACATATCTCGGCCTTTGGTGTTCTTGATCAGTTCTACTGGTGATATTCCTTCATGCCATTGTATTAAGCCATCGATCATCATTTCTCTCGGTTTGCCTCTGCCTCTTCTACCAGTCATCTTTCCAGTCGTTATTATAGTCTCTTGTGGCCTTTTCTCATCAAATGACCAAAGAACTTTGCCTACTTCTCATTGTTGTATATGATGTTCTACTTTCATTTTCACTAAGAATACGTGAATAGTAAATAGTATTTTACGTCAAATTTCTCACAGCTCTAAGAATCTGTGAATATTAAATTATGTAAATTTTTACTCCTACAGCAAACCCGCGAAAGCAGCGGCGGGAAAGAACGACCTTCACCCGATCGCAGCTGGACATTTTAGAGAACTTGTTTTCCAAAACTCGCTACCCGGATATCTTCATGCGCGAGGAGGTGGCGCTGAAGATCAACCTTCCCGAGTCACGTGTTCAGGTGAGTCAGACATGTTGTCATTGCTTCAGTTTGTGTTACATCTTCATTGTGTGTCTAAGGTCTTGGGTTCGTATCCTCACCCACGAAGATTTTTACAAGACGTTGCAGAAACAATCCCAGCATCCCAACCCCAGCTGCCCCTGGCTGTTGTGTGGTGTTTTTAGGCAAATTTACGTCCAGTAGTTTGCCATTGCTTTTTGGACGGTCGGCACTGTGATACCACTGTCGAAACCAACGCAAGGCGCATGGCCCGCAGCTGGGATCGAACCCGGCATATACGGCATTACGAAGCGTTCGCATCGACTTAGCCACAGAGCCGACGTAACACAGTTAACATTGGCTAATAGGCGAATGTTGGCGTCTGTGGTTCAGTCGTTACGGACGAGCCTAGTAATTTCAAGAAGTTTGGTTCGATCCCAGCTGCGGGCGATTTGGCAGCTGATCGCCTAGCGCTGGTTGTGACAGTGGTATCGAGAGCTGGCAGTTGAGTGGCAAGGGCAGAACTACTGAACCTAGCATTGTTTAATAAAATTGCAAACAGCCACACACCCACACACACACACACACACACACACACACTCACACACTCATGTCCCTATACATCCAGACTTTCACTGTGTTTGTTTGTGCGGCTAGATAGAATGTAACCATGTATACATAGACGTCTCATGTAAGTGTTTTATTCCTAGAAAATATGTTGCGCCCACGTACCCAGCCATTCCGTGTATGTGTTTCTGCTCCTGCGCAATCTCTATTCGGTAGTCTCCCATAAGCGCTTCGTCCCTATGTACAGCAGCAAGCGAAGAGTTCCAATTCCAATGGCACCAGTAACTGTCTGACTGTATATCCGTCTCTCCTTTTCCTTGAGTGTTAAGCGTCGGCCAGATCCCCTGGTATCTCCTCGCAGCGCCATTCTCCTTTGACCGTATTGATTTATTTGTGACTCCGCACTGTTCACTCGCTCCCAAAGGGCCCTCAAAAAATCTGGCTTGTCACACATCAATTCCCCAATAAATATAGACACAAGCAGATTGTAAAACTGAATGTACGATAAGTCTATGGGTTTCATCATAATAATTAATTCGGTTCTTTCGTAATATCCTACCACAGATGACAACACAGGACAGTCCAAAATTTTAGAAGGTGGTAAGACTGGGTTCCTCGACTTTATGATGCTTTCAACGACCCAAAACATATAGAACTGGCCCTAACCCCAACCCACCTACGTCTCACGAAAGAGTGCAGCCTAGGTCCCACGACTGCATGCAGCCTATCTACCACCCCCTGAAATATTGGACTGTCCCGTGACCTGTGGATTTACCTCTGCTTGGTACAGGACTCACACTAGCTCCCATCTTTGATTGGTTGTTACGTGATTCTACAGGGTAGCGTACGTTCAGCAGTTACCCATTGTTCAGTAAAGTTTGCTGACTATGTCTACACATAGTTGTCTGTTACTTCTTCTTCGGCGTTCGTCCTTACACTGGTGACTGGCAGGTTGTGTTTTAGTTTACGCCTAGGCATTTTCACATTCTGCGTAACCCCTAATTAGTCGCCTTTCACGGCATGCTTGTAAGGCGAAGGGGACAGTGTGAAAATCCCCTCCTCCTCTCCCCCGTCATTCCCACTCAGAATTGGCCCAGTGAGGCCGCATGGAGCGTTGTTACTTCGAATCCTGGCAAGTTTTGATTGTGAAACCTCTCCGTGTGGGTTCCGGGACCCCATTGTGGGGAACACAAGAATAGACCCACTGTCTGCATTATAAGCATGTCGCAAAAGTCGACTAATTGTGGGTTTCCATCGAAGTCGGAGTGCACCTGCCTGACAGGCAAGGAACCAACAGTCTGCATGCAATTGAGTCAATCCTGTGACCAAATGTGCGCGTAAAGCTCAGTTTCAAGAACAGTACTAGAGTTCAAAAGTGGACTAACAACCGAAACTTTCCGTCGGAGTTTAAAGCCGTGTAAACGCGAAGAGGAACAAAAAGAAGAAGCATCAGCAGTAGAAGAAGAAGAAGAAGAAGAAGAAGAAGAAGAAGAAGAAGAAGAAGAAGAAGAAGAAGAAGAAGAAGAAGAAGAAGAAGAAGAAGAAGGAGAAGAAGGAGAAGAAGAAAAATGAAAAGAAGGATGGTGAGGAGCAGCAGCAGCAGCGGGAGACGGAGAAGAAGGAAGAAGTAGGGGAAGAAGAAGAAGAAGAAGAGGAAGAAGAAGAAGAAGAAGAAGAAGAAGAAGAAGAAGAAGAAGAAGAAGAAGAAGAAGAAGAAGAAGAAGAAGAAGAAGAAGAAGAAGAAGAAGAAGAAGAAGAAGAAGAAGAAGAAGAAGAAAAAGAAGAAGAAGAAGAAGAAGAAGAAGAAGAAGAAGAAGAAGAAGAAGAAGAAGAAGAAGAAGAAGAAGAAGAAGAAGAAGAAGAAGAAGAAGAAGAAGACTGTGAAACCGTGTTACTGATGCAGCGAAAGTCTGGAGTTTATCCATAATCCGACGAACCAGCCCGCTCGCCCCGTTTCCAACTTGATCCAGGCAAATCGTGGTAATCGGTCGGTACGTGTTGATGTATATGTGACATAAAAAAACTAGCCGATATTGTGTCTTGCTTTCATGGCCTAGGGACCCGACCCCTACTACCCCCCCCCCCCCCCTTTTCCCTTCCCGACAAAAAAGTAATAAGAATTGAAACGAATTTTTAGTGTGTGCATTTATAAAGATGTGAAAATGCGTTTTTTTATTGTGTGTACGAGTGTGCCAAATATGCAAGTCCGTATGTCCGTCTGGGTGTATATGTGGGTGTGTGTGTGTGTGTACTTGAGTATGTACGTGTATATACATACTGCTGCCAGCTTATAAAGAATGGGAACACTCAAAGCCGTCACGGTCCAACACCACTATAACGCCCCCTGCTAGTGATTTCTATTTGCTCTGTAACAGATAGTTTATTTTGTTTCATTTCCTTCATTTTGTTCCGCTTCCTCAAGTAGAGCTCTCAAACGCCCGTCACAGACACGGGCGGTTCACTTTATTCCAAATTTTTCAAACCTTTGTGCTTCTCCAAGAATAGAAAATATGTTACCACGCTGAGGCCACCATGGCAACAAAAAACTGGCCACCATGGCAACAAAAACTAAGTGGCAGTATGCGTTAGCCACTTTTCAAAGTGGCCATTTATCAGAGTTGGCATTTTAAAAATTTCTTGAAAAAAGATGGCCTCCTAATTGCAGAGACCGAGCACGAGAGTTTCCAGTAGTGTTATTCTTAAACGTATCACCTGAAATCATTTACTGTTCTTACTTCGTTGTTGGTGTCGTTGTCATGCTTTCTTTTTTTCTGTCTTTCTGTCTGTCTTTCTTTCTGTCTTTCTGTCTGTCTGTCTGTCTGTCTGTCTGTCTGTCTTTCTTTCTTTCTTTCTCTTTCTTTCTTTCTTTCTTTCTTTCTTTCTTTCTTTCTTTCTTTCTTTCTTTCTTTCTTTCTTTCTTTCTTTCTTTCTTTCTTTCTTTTCTTTCTTTCTTTCTTTCTTTCTTTCTTTCTTTCTTTTTTCTTTCTTTCTTTCTTTCTTTTTGTTCTTTCTTTCTTTCTTTCTTTCTTTTTTTCTTTCTTTCTTTCTTTCTTTCTTTCTTTCTTCTTTCTTTTCTTTCTTTCTTTTCTTTCTTTCTTTTCTTTTTCTTTCTTTCTTTTTCTTTCTTTCTTTCTTTCTTTCTTTCTTTTTCTTTCTTTCTTTCTTTCTTTCTTTCTTTCTTTCTTTCTTTCTTTCTTTCTTTCTTTTTTTTTTCTTTCTTTCTTTCTTTCTTCTTTCTTTCTTTCTTTCTTTCTTCTTCTTTCTTTCTTTCTTTCTTTCTTTCTTTCTTTCTTTCTTTCTTTCTTTCTTTCTTTCTTTCTTTCTTTCTTCTTCTTTCTTTCTTTCTTTCTTCTTTCTATCTTCTTTTTCTTCTTTCGTTCTTTGTTCTTCTTCGTCTTCTTCTTCTTCTTCTTCTTCTTCTTCTTCTTCTTCTTCTTCTTCTTCTTCTTCTTCTTCTTCTTCTTCTTCTTCTTCTTCTTCTTCTTCTTCTTCTTCTTCTTCTTTTTCTTCTTCCTCCTCCTCCTTCCCACTTCCTCCTTCTTCCATACTTCTCCCCACCCTCTTCTTTTTCTCCTCCTCTTCCTTTTCTATCGTTTTTCGTAAGCCTATCCTGAAAAACATTCCTAATGTTATTTGCGCACTGTTAAATTCGTAAACCTGTCGTCTCGAATCTTAAATAATATCCAAAGTCACACTTCATTCTTACTGTTACTGGTGGTGTTTTTGTTGTTTAGTTATTGTTATTGTTATTGTCAGAGATTTTGTTTCTAGAAAACAAAAAAAAAGGTGCCGGTACTTACCACAATGTCTCTGTTAGCGCATCGCTGTAGATATTATGCTGGTTCTATAAACGTTTTTCAGCCCAGAAAGAGAGTGACTTTCCTTCCCATTCATGCCTCGTCGTGTCGTAGGGCATGATCTATGTTGCGGAAGGGGGAGGGGGTGCAAGCTTAGTGACCGGCCAGTAAAACGTGGTATTTTACTCGTGGTTTTCACTGGCCGGCAATACCGAGTGTTCTATATCCCACGATGTGAGCACTATGAACTGTCCCAAAACACGTAGAATGGGCCCTAACCCCCCTACCCTACCCTACAGCCTCAGCCTACAGCCCACGGCTGCTTGCAGCCTAGGTCATCAGCGATATCCCGCATCCCATACTACCCGATGTTACCGTCACTTTTAACGACCCCATAATATCTACAACTGGCCCTAACTCCAACCCTTGTACGGGACAGCCTCAGCCTAGGTCACACGAGAGAGCTCCACGAATACCAAACGAAAAAACCTGACACCCCTGTAGGAGATTGTCGCGCAGGTGAACGGTTAGGATGCATTATTGAACGGCAAATCACGATGTCGCTGGGCCCGAAAACGTGAGTTGTACCATAAAATCTTAACCTGCTGCACAGTCCGTGGCGACACACTAGCCAAGCGGCACTTGATCCTCGGGCTC